TGAAAAACTGGAGGACGAAATTCTGCCGAGCCGCTGCCTTTAACCTTTCACTAGCAATAATGCCAAGCTGTGTCATTAGTTAAGATTGTTTAGGCACAAACACAGTGTGAATTTAGCTGGGAAGAGTGGCAACAGGGTTTGTCAGCGTTGAGGTACGTCAGCATCATAAAAAAATTGGTCTTTGCATTTCCATCATCTTTTATCTTAAGCTCCATTTTCTTGCCTTTCTATGATTGTCAATACTTTTTGTTGATGTAGTGAGCACCTCAGCTCATCGATATTGCATGCAGTTTATTAGCTTCTTTTTCGGAGAATACGATCAATAAAATATTGACTCAGTACTACGTAAACTTATATAGTTCCAAGTAGAATAAAAGAAGCTTCCTGTAGACTTAGGCAGTAATGCTCCATATCACCGCTGGAAACGAAAGCCATGAAAACAATTTCTTTGTACTTCAGAAATCTGGATGTTCTATTGTTCCTTGTCATTTAAGTGATACTAGACCTTACCGCCACTCAGATATAAAGGTTGAAGAAGGGTGAAAAGGGTTGAAAGAAAGGGTTGCTATAGAGCTTTCCGCTTTACTAGAGTCATTTCTCCTTTTACGATTGCTCAAAACATGAAGATGTGCAGCAAACCCTTACCAACAATGTTCAAATATCTCATGCATTGAAGTCCCACCAAACTTTTCAAACAAAAAAAAAAACTAATGTTCTAATCAAATGCCTCACCTTGAGATTTTATGTTCGCAGTGTATTACTAGAAAAAAAATCGGCGATTGATAGTATCCAAGTATATTCCTCTTATCATACCACTTATATAGCTTCTCTTTCTTACTTATCTTACCTCACTAATAACCACAAAAACTTGCTAATAGCGGCGATTGCTTTTTGGCAACTTTCTCATCGATTTAATGCGCTATCTGATTAGTTCTGTTCATCAAGCTCTTTTCTGTTCATCAAGCTCTTGGGTTCAAGTTTTATAATTATGAAACGATTGTTTAAGGGTGGATTCTCTGGACAAGCTTCGAGAACGTCTGCAAGAGCTTGATGCGGAACTCTCTGAACCTAATGCGTTTCGTGAGCTGTACACTTTCACTTTTCTTTACGGAAAATTGAGCAGTCAACGAAATCTCGATCTGGATACAGCATTGGCTTATTGGAAGATTTTATTCAAGGATAAGGTGAGATTCTTGCCCATTTTTTGTTGGCAAAGTTCTTGTTTGATTAACAGAAACTTCGGATTTCAGTTCCCCTTGTTATCGCTGTGGGAAGAATTCCTGCTAGCAGAACATGGCAAAGCCATCTCGCGTGACACTTGGAATCTTTTGTTGGACTTTTGCCTCACGATTCGCCCGGATCTCACCAACTATGACGATGAAGGTGCTTGGCCCGTACTAATTGACCAGTTTGTGGAATATGCACGCGAGAAGCTGAACCTTCCGCGACCTGAACAGCCGGCAGCAGTTGCATCGTAGTATGAAAAGATTGTCAAGCGACATTCTCTTTAGATTGAGCATTCTTCCCATTTTCTGATAAGCTGACCAATATTTGATTCGTAGTAGGTTTTTGAGTGTGTTATGCTGCTCTTGTATTGCCAGTTCAACACTATTCTGCGCTCACAATGGTTTGTGGTCACTCGTTCATTCAGACGGTAGTCGCTTTCTGCCTAATTTTGGTCATATCTGACCTGTAGTAGTTCTTTCTTACATTTGATTGTAATCCCTTTATTCTTTATGGACTGAACGGGTCTATATTTAACCCGGTACATAGTTTACAACACAATGATACAGCATGTTTGGTTCCTCACTCAAAGTTCTTACTATTTTTTT